ACCACCACACCCGGCTAATTTTTGTATTTTTAGTAGAGATGGGGTTTCACCATGTTGACCAGGCTGGTCTTGAACTCCTGAACTCAGGTGATCTGCCCAGCTCAGCCTCCCAAAGTGCTGGGATTACAGGCATGAGCCACCGCCCGAGGCCTATTTACTGTTTTAAACTGCTAAAGTTTTGGGGGTAATCTGTTACATAGCAATGGATAACTATTTTTTTTAATTTAAAAAAATATTTTATATTTTAGAGACCCTGTGCAAGTATAGCTCACTGCAGTTTTAAACTCCTGGGCTCAAGTGATCCTCCTGCCTTAACCCCCTGAGCAGCTGAGACCACAGGCATGAGCCACTAAACCTGGCTACTTTACTTTTAATGTTTTTAGAGATGGAGGTCTCACTATGTTGCTCAGGCTGTTCTCAAACTCCTGGGCTCAAGCAACCCTCCCACTTTAGCCTCCAGAGTTGCTGGGATTTTGAGGACTTTGCTATAAAATGAGGCCAGAAAAATAAATATATTTTATTTTACTGTATTACTATCGTTATTATCTTTTTAAATCTTTTTTCTTTTATTTTCATTCCCTGAATATCTTCTGCACAATTATTATTATTTTTTGAGACGGAGTCTTGCTCTGTCACCCAGCCTGGAGTGCAGTGGTGAGATCTAGGCTGCAACCTCTGCCTCCCCGGTTCAAGGGATTCTTAGGCCTCAGCCTCCAAAGTAGCTGGAATTACAGGTGTGTGCCACCACATCCGACTATTTTTTTTGTATTTTTTTTAGGTATTCAAAGACAGAGGACTTAAGCAGCCAGAAGGTTCTATTTATTCCAGGTGACATCACAGTACTTACCCATCTTCACCGATAAAAAGGGCAATATGTGCACATAGCACATATGTATTTACCACCTAATTTTGGCAAAAGTATTTAAAATTTAGAAAATTTAGAAGTATTTAAAATAAGAACTTTATTTGCCAAAGTTGCATGACTGAAAAAATGCTTATGGATTTTTAAAAAATGTGATTAGGTACATAGAGTGCTAAATTAGAATGCTCAACTAAAAAACCATACCAAATTTACTTTGTAGAAGAAAATGTAATCAGCTCTATAAACACTATTTAAAGAAAATAAGGCCCTGCATGGTGGTTCACACCTATAATCCCAGTACTTTGGCAACCAGAGGCAAGAGAATCACTTGAGGCCAGGAGTTCAGGACTAGCTTAATCAATAGAACAAGGCTCATTCTCTAAAAATAAAAAAAAAATAAAAAATAAATTTGGTTTAAGATATTTAAAACACATTAACTCTTTGAAGATTAGCTATGGAGTGCAGGAGGAGGGGTTGTGGAGGAGGCTAAATAAGTATGGGCTAATTATCTCAGAGCAAGTTTTCAACCCAAACCAAAATGACATAACTATGCAAAGATTACACAGTGAAGTAATTTATGGCAGAAGCCTGAGAGTCAAAGAGTTGAAATGATTGAGACTTTTAGTCCCTTTGCAGCTCCTCCATTGTTTGCTTGTAGAATCAGCCATGCGGAAGAATCCTCAGTCTAGGAAGGGATCCTGCCATTTAAGAGGGAAAAGAATGCTGTTCCAAGCAGGCACACCTGCTTCCAATTCTATGTGGAACAAGATGCTGATGGGATAAGTAAATACACAAAATTTAGGATGAAGAAAAATCCTGGCCGGGTGTGGTGGCTCACGGCTGTAATCTCAGCACTTTGGGAGGCCGAGGCAGGCGGATCACCTGAGGTCAGGAGTTCAAGACCAGCCTGGCCAACATAGTGAAACCCTGTCTTTAAAAGAAAAAAAAAAAAAAAAGAAAAATCCTAGGATGAAATTTCATAGAGTAGAACTAGCTACCTAGATATTCTCTGGTCGGTTCAAAAGGTGAAAATGAAAAAGTGAAGTGAACAGCCACTGTGAGCAGCAGGAACACAACCAAGTTTCTCTGTTCCTTTTTCCCTCCTCTGGTCCCTTTGCCTTTCTTATTCGTAATGCTCATGTCTTTTTCATAGGCTTTATAGGTTTTATCTCAATGTCCTTGCATGATGGTAACAAATCACATATTTTAAGATTTGGGCTGAAAGGGGCTTAATCTTTTTTTTTTTTTTTTTTTGTTCTTGTTGCCCACGCTAGAGTGCAATGGCATGATCCTGGGTTTAAGCGATTCTCCTGCCTCAGCATCCCGAGCAGCTGGGATTACAGGGATGTACCACCACACCTACCTTATTTTGCATTTTCAGTAGAGATGGGGTTTCTCCATGTTGGTCAGGCTGGTCTCAAACTCCCGACCTCAGGTGATCTGCCCGCCTTGGCCGCGGGGATTACAGACATGAGCCAACGTGCCCGGCGAGGTGCTTAATCTTTAGGAAAAAAACCTGTGCTGCTCAATCTACTGAATGAGCAGCACAATAAACACAAACAAAAACAATAAGACATGGTGGGCACTTGCCTCCATATGTAATGAATTTGTTATTGGATCTATCCAATTCATGCCCCAGCTCATCAACAGGAGACTCCTTTCAAAGAGCCTGTCTGGCTAAAACACTTTTTCTTAGCTTAAGAAAAATCCTTTACTAGTTACCTGTTACTTGCAAGGTACATTTCAAACCATTTAACAGGGCAGAGTTCCAGGAGAATACACACAAAGCCTTAAAAATGTTTCCAGGTCACAATGCCGTTTTAAAGAAAATCAAGACCAAACCTGTTTCTTAGACAATCTAGAAGGAAACTTACCTTTGGCTGTGTAGCCAGATACCCCCAGCTTGGATGTTTGAGTGGTTGAAGGTGAGAAGAAATGCACCCAATGCTTCTATAGTTCCATAGGCTTCAGTGTCTTCTTCTATTACACTGTATATTAACTGCCAGCTTTCTTGCCTGTATTTCCCCATCACACCAAAAGCTCTATGAAGATAGGGACTGAATATTGTCAGGATCTGGCACAGTGCCTCATATCAGACAGTATTTGTTAAATGAATGAATAAATGAAACCTGGAGACACAACACAGAATAGCAGAAAAAGAAATAGGCCAGGCATGGTGGCTCACGCCTGTAATCCCTGCACTTTGGGAGGCTGAGGCAGGTAGAACACTTGAGGTCAGGAGTTAAAGACCAGCCTCAAAAACAAAACAAAACAACAACAACAAAAAATCAAGGTGAAAGGAATTTACATTTACCCACAATCATACAAAGAGTTTCGCTCTAGTTGCCCAGGCTGGAATGCAGTGGCGTGATGTGGGCTCACTGTAACCTCTGCCTCCCAGGTTCAAGCAATTCTCCTGCCTCAGCCTCCTCAGTAGCTGGAATTACAGGCACCTGCCATCACGCTCGGCTAATTTTTGTATTTTTAGTAGAGACAGGGTTTCACCATGTTGGCCAGGCTGGTCTGGAACTCCTGACCTCAGGTGATCCACCTGCGTCAGCCTCCCAAAGTGCTGAGATCACAGGCATGAGCCATTGTGCTGGCCGAGGCTGCAGTTTTAAATCAGTTGATTTGTATGCAGTTTTTTCTCTTTGGTAGCAAATTCCCATCCTTTTGATAGTAAATAGTCAATGGAAGCAGCCAAGAGTCACTGGGTTTTGGTCAAGTGTAGTGATTAAAGTGAGAGATCAAGTAGGCAATACTAGTTTTGGTTGAAAGCCTCTGCCTGTAGGACAATGTGAATGGTTTTCACATGTGACTCAAAGTGGCTCTGAAGGCAATAACAGGAATTCCAAAACTACTGTGGGCAATTGGTTCATCACCAAACCAAGCATATTACTTCCAAAAGAGTGAACTATGAAGGCGACAAACAGGGCTAGGTGATAATACTTTCTCAGAATTCATGTTACACACATATCTCATTCACACACAGAAATTCTTAATGGGTGAGTCAATTAATTCATTTAATTAAAGTAGATATTCTGGTTCACCTAAAACTTTAATATTTGCTGTATTTTTCAGTATAACATTCTCATAAAAACTTATTCACCATTTGACTGGTACTTCACATACATAATCTTTTTAAGGTTCACACTACTACCACAAATGTAAGTATTATTCTCCCCATGTTATGAGAAAATGGAGACTCAGACAAAATGTGATTTGTGCAAGACAACAACAGCTGATAAACGGTAGAACCAAGATGCCAATACAGATGTTTTGCTTCAAATACCAAGTTCTTTTTATTTTCTGATCCTGCCATGTAGCACCTTTGAATAATTCTTAAATGTATCACTATAGGGTTGTTCAATTTCTAGCTGCAACGTTTAACATTTCTTTTTTTTTTTTTTTGAGACGGAGTTTCACTCTTGTTACCCAGGCTGGAGTGCAATGGCGCGATCTCAGCTCACCGCAACCTCCTCCGCCTCCTGGGTTCAGGCAATTCTCCTGCCTCAGCCTCCTGAGTAGCTGGGATTACAGGCACGCGCCACCATGCCCAGCTAATTTTTTGTAGTTTTAGTAGAGACGGGGTTTCACTGTGTTGACCAGGATGGTCTCGATCTCTTGACCTCGTGATCCACCTGCCTCGGCCTCCCAAAGTGCTGGGATTACAGGCTTGAGCCACCGCGCCCGGCCTATGTTTAACATTTCTTAATGACTCTATTATTACCAGTGAATAATCCTACTCTTTATTTAACCTGGAAGTGAACTGAACAAAACTGAAGATATTGCTTATAAATAGACTTATTTATATTCTTGAGGAAAACTGGAAGTAACTACAAAAAGCCATTTATTCCACTTGAAGTAAATATTGATACTAGACCTTACATTTAAAGAGACTGGACTGGCAAGTGACTTTCTTTTTAACAATAACCATATTAAAAGAGAAAAAAAAATGGAGCAGTAAGTTAAATAAAAGGCTAATAAAACTTGGAGGAAATAGCTGTTTTCTTTTAAACCCTGAAAAATACCAAATGTAGGTTATGTTGCATAAAGAGTCATTTTAAGAGAAGACTATTAACAATCCAATAGTAGAGTCAGCATTAAGAACTTCAATGATATTCAACTCAAACATGCATAGGGAGAGTAAAGTTATTTTATTAAATCATGCACATCACGTGTGTTAGTGCAAATAGTTTAATCTGTACTCCAGAAATTCTATTGTACTTTATATCTTTACAAAATAGATTTAAAACAATTATTTACTTTAAAAAATGTAATTCTGAAGTTAAGCATTTCAGAACAATATTTGCAATAACCTATATACAAGAGGTACTGGGTACCACTGGCATATTAGCATTCTGTGGTGGAGTGGCTTCCTGCAACAGAAAATGATGAAATGAACTATATGACAGTATTCTCTACAAGTCATTTGTGACTAATTCCTCCATAAATCTAGTGATCCTCCCAACAGTAATCCCAAATAGCTTAAAATATAACCTTTAAAGTATAAACAGTGACTGCCAAACATCACAAGGCAAATTATACCCTAAACTCCTATTTCAATATTTGGCTAGACTTGCGGATTGCCACAGAACATTCAAGCCAATTCACTGACATTCCCTCCCAGTCTTCATTGACTGAAAAATTTAACTATGTGATACTTTAGGATATTCTATGACCTAAATAAACTTTACTGACATAACTATGATGTCACACAAAACCATGGCTAAACTTTCACTTCTGTGTTTTAAATTTATAACATCAAGCAGTGTTTTTAGGTGCTTCATTGTGCATAGAACACTATTAATCTTGGGAATAGTGCTTTTCATTAATAGAAAGTCCCAATTAACAACAATAAAAAGAAAATAACCATTTGCATACCCAACCAGGAAATCTGTTGGTAGGTACAACAGCTCACCCTGAACATGAATTAGCTCTGACACATCATAAACCAAATTAGGTCAATACAAGCTTATCGAAAGAGATATTAATACTTTCTTCAATTAAACATGCTTGGAGGAATAGATGATAGAAAAAAAATCATGCTTCCTAAAATGCTGTATATGAGAAAGTAACTTGGCTTTTAAAGAAAAATATCTCTTTAAATACATGAGGTTTAATAAATTACATTCCAATTGACTCAACAGTTTGGTTGACTGCACTGAAATTGTGTAATTACTATGTTTTTGCTCCCAGAAATACTTCAGTTTGCTCAAGAAAATACACACTCTCATGGAAAGTTTTTCAAAGTTGATGTCCTCCACATCTTCAAGTCTCATTAAGGCTGAACAAGCGTGCACATATTCCCCAAATTATCACCATAACAGTTTATTTTCCAAATGTATTTTTCCTTTAAAAAAAAAAAAATCCACGCAATTAGTTTTCTCTAAGTCTTGTTCCCAATAGCTCAGTGGTTTTATAACAAGTAAAAATGGCGTAAATATGTAAAAAATATATATATATGTGTATATATTTCAAACTGATAGGCACTGAGCACACAGGGCCTCTCTTCCCATGTATGTACTGGTTGTTTGGTTTGGGTAATTATCAAATCAGAAAAATGAATTATCTGGTCATCAGACTTCAGAGTAAAATACTCATAAATTTAATGCTATAAATAATCTGGTGTACCAAGAAGCCTACTTTAGGCCACCATAATATTCAGAATCTCAACATACTAATTTAAAAATTACATGAAAAATTGCAAGCAAATTATTGCTTACAGTAAAGTCACAATTTTATATCTTCTTTATAGACAGATACATTTTATATAATTTAAAGCAATGACCCTACAGCTGTATTCTTGTACTTCTGCTGTTTTAAAAGAGGTAAAAAGGAAGAAAATGGTTCTGTTTGTCCCCAGCATGAGTATGATGCCAGCTTCTAGAGGGAGGACGGTGTACGGACTCAAGGAACGCTCTCATGGAGAAGCTCTGGCCAGACCTGGCACATACAGCACAATGGCTGTTACTGCAACCAGGGCAGCCAACATGGGCATCCAGGGCCAGGGTTTCTGTGTGGAAAGAAACCAAGAGTCAATATCACATTCTCTCCTCTCTTTTCATACCTATTAACCCCTTGGTTTCAGAGAGTCCTGAATATTTAACAGAATACTGGAAAAATCTTATTTTTGCATCATAAAAATAAAGTTAAAAAAAAAAAAGTGAGAGAGTGTAGGTATAAGGAGAGCCATAATAGCAGGACCACCAATTTGGAAGTCTAATATATCACAAGAAAGTCCTGGGAAGTTTTCAACTTTGTTACAGTTGAAACCTAATAGTGACTTCTAAGAAAACCTGTGGGCTCTGCCTGCATTATTTACTCTGGTATCCATATATTCCAATATAACTGATGTATATAGATACCTGTAGTATGTTTCTGCCTAAAATGTTTATTTCTTGATTAGAGCCAGACTCCATGTTGGGATATTTTATTCAAGGGGATGATAGTGGCTAAGGTGACAAGGCTTTGGTCTAGGCTTTGGTCCTCTAACTTGAAACCACAGAAGACAAAATCAAATAGGGTTCAAGATGGAGAAGTAACATTAGAGATCCTGCCTGTCTGATAATTCTGGTAAAGACTCTGTTCAGTGTAATAAAGCCACATGATCATCTCATATGCTCTACTAACATGCATGCCAGTTAGAGGCAAGCATGGACGGGCTGTTGCCTGCTAACTTTAAGAGGGCTTTATAAGATTAGCTTGCTTTGGTTGACATTTTTATTTTTACTTGTATTCCAAGAGTGTTATTGAGAAAAACTGGTTTTTCTTTTTTTCTTCTTCTTTTTCTTTTTTTTTTTTTTTTTTAGCTATGGCAGAGAAAAACTGGTTTTTAAAGAAATATTCTGATGTTGCAGGTCAGGGCTCAGAAAGAAATGGGATACGTTTATATCCTTGCAAGTACATAATAGGGTTGAGATTGTAAGCCAATGGTTCATTAGGCTAATCTCATTTTTTTTCATCTCCATAGCCATAGTATAAATAGGGAAAGGGTTGAAACAAAGAAAATCTACACTATGAAAAGGAAGAGGATAAGGAGGAAGGGGAAGAAAGCTGGCTGAAAACTTGAAAGAGGCAAACTCTTCATTTCTCATTTAAATCTGATTAAACACATAATTGGAAAGGGTACTAATATTGCAGAAATTCATAGTGTACTCCAGTTTGCTACAGATCAAGACAGTTAAAAGAAGCATATTAACAACTGGTTAGGTTGGAATTAACTCATGGTTAGCATTACTACAAAGTAAACAAGACAAAAAGTTATGGGATTAGTTGACTGTTGAATTCACTGGTATGACACAAATACACAGCATACTAAATGAAGGGTTTGCTTCAGGTAACAAAATACCTGTGTGTTTTTGCCATGCACTATATTACAAATACGGCACAAACAGGTGACGGGGACAAACAGACAAGGACTCAACGGTAGTGCTTGTACCTTTCTCTACCACAATGGACCGAAACACCAAAACAGGAAAGCCAGGAATAGGCCGATGAATACGGCTGGGACGGGTTGTAATATGGAAGGCTAAAGAAGGGAAGGCATATTAAAATCATTTTATGCTATGAATATAATCAGATAAGAGGATTCAGACCCCAGTGGGGTGGGAGGCAGGGAAGAAAGACTGAAGCAATAGAAGTATACCATTCAGGTTTTGCACAGATTCAAACATTTTAAAGACATCTAACACAATCCTGAACGACAGACTGGGGTATGCAAGTTGGGAAACTATCAGTTTAAAAGGAACAGCTAGGCTGGGTGTGGTGGCTCATGCCTGTAATCCCAGCACCTTGGGAGGCTGAGGCAGGTGGATCACCTGAGGTCAGGAGTTTGAGACTGGCCTGGCCAACATGGTGAAATGCTGTCTCTACTAAAAATACAAAAGTTAGCCGGTCATGGTGGTACACACCTGTAATCCCAGCTACTCGGGAGGCTAAGGTAGGAGAATCACTTGAACCAGGAGGCTGAGGTTACAGTGAGCTGAGATCATGCCACTGTAATCCAGCTTGGGTGACAGAGACTCCATTTCAAAAAAAGAAAAAAAGGAACAGCTGAAGGCAACGGGCAATGTGGGTATACCTAACATTCTAATGAAATGTAGCACATGAAGACAGAGCAAGCCAGGCATGGTGGCTTATGCCTGTAATCCCAGCACTTTGGGAAGCTGAGGTGGGCAGATTGCTTAAGGCCAGGAGTTTGAGACCAGCCTGCGCCACATGGCAAAACCCCGTCCCTACAAAAAATAAATGAGTTGGGCATGGTGGTGCACGTCTGTAATTCTAGCTACTTGGGAAGCTGAGGTCGGAGGATCACTTGAGCCGGGGAGGTCAAGGCTATAGTGAGTTGAGATCATGCCACTGCACTCCAGCCTGGGTGACAGAGCAAGACCTGGTCTCCAAAAAAAAAAAAACAAATAATGACCAACACTGCACCGCTAGCTGATGCTCTCTGCTTGATAGTACACATTTTTGCTCAATACCTGAAACCCATTATTTCACAATATACTCCCTCAGCAATGGTTAAGGGTTATTTTATTCCTCTAACAAAATCTTTTCTTTTTTTCAACCAAAGCTCTTTTGCTTATTAGATTATACTACTTTCCAGCTTAAAAATAAGTGCCCTGTGATAATGCATGTTTCCTAAATCAGGCAAGAAATGTGACAATATATGATAAAGGTTTGGTATATAAAGACAGGCAGGGCTGGGTGCGGCGGCTCATGCCTGTAATCCCAGCACTTTGGGAGGCTGAGGTGGGTGGATCACCTGAGGTCAGGAGTTCGAGACCAGCCTGACCAATGTGGAGAAACTCCATCTCTATTAAAAATACAAAATTAGCCGTGCGTGGTGGCACATGCCTATAATCCCAGCTACCCAGGAGGCTGAGGCAGGAGAATCATTTGAACCCAGGAGGTGAAGGTTGCAGTGAGCCGAGATAATGCCATTTTACTCCAGCCTGGACAAGAGTGAACTCCGTCTGGTCTTGAACTCCTAACCTCAGGTGATCCTCCTGCCTTGGCCTCCCAAAGTGCTGGGATTACAGGCATGAGCCACTGCGCCTGGCTGCAAAGTTACTTTTGAAAAGGTTCTAAATAGTACATTCTGATTATGCTAGATGTCTTCATGGGTTAATTTAGCAGTAGACTGAAATTCCATAATCCCAGGGATATGAATTAATACAAAAGAGAGAAGTAACCAAACCATTATGATCTGATTTTAGAAGAGTTTGTAATCTACATTTTGAAAAGTAAATGCAAACCATTTTTGCTTAGCATAAAGCCTCCACACCCAGTTTATCAACTTCTAAAAGGCTTCCACCTAAACAGCAAGCCTTTATTGTCTACAAACTGCAAAGGACAACTGGACACAACTCATGAGCATTCTGTGTGCAAATGAATAACAGGATGGCCATGCAACATCATTCTTTTGTACTTGTGCTGCAGGGTAAGCAGAGTGGCTTCCTCCATAGGAAGCATGTGGCTCACGCACACTGCAGTGTCCAAGCCATGACAGCAGTTTCAAATAAGTGAGAGCACAACCAACCACGCCAAACATCTATCAGTTAGGGCCCACAAAGGTAATGATCACTAAAACGTACAACACAACATTAATTTAGTATAACATCTTTTTAAAGACCATCTTTCTAGCAAATGAAAAACAAAAAAAATTAAAGTCAATTTATACCAAAATCTTCATCTGTCTCTTTCTCTCTCACAGCCCTACAGAAACTCACCAAATATTTTCTAATACTTACAGAACGCAAAAGAGACACTAAGCTTTTTAGAAATTGTGCCTCAGTGAGAACATTATTGGTATATAATGAAAACCATTAATAAGTCTTGATTTTTTTGATATAGCCAAATGCTAATTATCAACATGTACTACCGTCTCTTAAATGGGTCGCTGGTAGTATAGTGCTTCATTTCCCAGCAGGGCATAAACAAGAGCCAGACAATGGCTTAGTGACAGAGCTTCAGACTCATCTGGGAAAAGCTGACAGTTCTTAGGCAAGCTGCTTTATTGCAAACAAGGCTCTTCCTCCAGGCAGTCCCGAGGCTCTTGGGGTATAGGTTAAAGGTACAAATTCTTTTTCAAAAATTTGACAGCATAATGATTCTGTCATGGAATTTCATAATTGAAAGCTTATTTCATTTGTACCATTTGCTTCACAAATCAGTGATAAAGTCCTCTGAAAATCAATTTCAATCTCTCATCTGCCTCTCAATCAAAGCTAAGCCAAGTTTGCAAAGACTTACATTATTTCCTTTCTCTCGGAGCAGCTTCAGGTTGTTTTTACATTGTTTGAGCTCATCTGTGATTGACTGCTTTTCCTGCTCAGTCTTTTCAAACTTCAACTTCAGTTCTGAGAGTACAGTCTGTGTCTTTTCATACTAAAGGCAAAGAAAAAAAAAAGTGTGCAGATTCAACTTAAAATGAGTATGAAGGTATGGTTCTAGTCAGGCTTATATGCCAGATCCTATTTAGTCACGTGGAACACTAAAGACAAGTATTTTTGTTAAAGGAGGAATAACTTGCACTCATAAGAAGAAGTCTTTTGGTCAGGCGCAGTGGCTCACACCTATAATCCCAGCAGTTTGGGAGGCCAAGGTGGGTGGATTATGAGGCCAGGAGTTTGAGTCCAGCCTGACCAGCATGGTGAAACTCCATCTCTACTAAAAATACAAAAATTAGCCAAGCATGGTGGCGTGCACTGGTAATTTCAGCTACCCAGGAGGCTGAGGCAGGAGAATCACTTGAACCTGGGAGGTGGAGGTTGCAGTGAGCTGACATTGCGCCATTGAACACTCCAGCCTGGGCAACAGAGTAAGACTCCATCTCAAAAAAAAAAAAAAAAAAAAAAAAAAAAAAAAAGGTCTTTAATGTTGACTTGATTCTATGTAAGAATTTTCTGGCCCTGGAATAAAAAAAAAATTAAGAGTAATCACCATTTTGTCATCTGTTTTTAATATAAAGGATCACTTTTTCCACCAAGTAAGTGTAGGAGAAAAGAAAAACTTCAAACTGAGCAAAAGAAAAGTAGGTGAAGAAAAATCCCATAGCCTAATTAAGTGGCAATGTTAGGAAGCCTGAGTTTGTATAATGGTAAGCAGTGTCAGCCAAGCTATTTTACTCTTGAAGTAAAAATTACTCTTGAAGTAATTCCTCCACCTAGTATGGAAGCGAAAAGAAAAAAAAAAGTATTAATTCCCAATAGGTTTCCCTTTACCCAGCATTACTGGGTATTAAAGTGTTCTGGATAAGTGAATTTTCTAGGCAAATGAAGAAAATAAATGTATCTGAAGTACACACCACTATGACTGGGAAATATCTATTCTTCCACTTCAAACTTAGGTATCAGCCGGGCATGGTGGCTCACACCTGTAATCCCAGCAATCTGGGAGGCCAAGGTGGGCAGATCACCTGAGGTCAGGAGTTTGAGCCTGGCCAACATGGCAAAACCCCATCTCTACTAAAAATATAAAATTAGCCAGGCATGGTGGTGCATGACTATAATCCCAGCTACTTGGGAGGCGGAGGCAGGAGAATCGCTTGAACCTGGGAGATCAAGGTTAGAGTGAGTTGAGATTGAGCCACTGTACTCTAGCCTGAGCAATAAGAGTGAAACTCCATCTCAAAAAACAAACCAAAACAAAAAACTTAGGTATCAACTAAAAGTCATTTTAAAAAAATCTGTTTCTGGTAGAAATTTTATTTTTATTATTTATTTTTTGAGATGGAGTCTTGCTCTCGCACCCAGACTGGAGTACAGTGGTGCAATCTCGGCTCACTGAAACCTCCACCTCCCAGGTTCAAGCAATTCTCCTGCTTCAGCCTCCTGAGTAGCTGGGATTATGGGTGCCTGCTACCACGTCTGGCTATGTTTCATACTTTTAGTGGAAATGAGGTTTCACTATGTTGGCCAGGCTGGTCTCGAACTACTGGCCTTGGGTGATCTGCCTGCCTTGGCTTGCCTCCCAAAGTGCTGGGATTACAGGCATGAGCCACCACGTCCCGCCTGTTTCTGGCAGAAATTTTTAAATAGTAAAACATGTCATTTTTTGCTTTGAAAAACAATTCATTGTATATAATTTGACATTCAGGTAGAGTCAAATCTTTTTATTTGTATTTTTTTTTATTTTTTATTTTTTGAGACGGAGTTTCACTCATGTTACCCAGGCTGGAGTGCAATGGCGCGATCTCGGCTCACCGCAACCTCCGCCTCCTGGGTTCAGGCAATTCTCCTGCCTCAGCCTCCTGAGTAGCTGGGATTACAGGCACGCGCCACCATGCCCAGCTAATGTTTTGTATTTTTAGTAGAGACGGGGTTTCACCATGTTGACCAGGATGGTCTCGATCTCTTGACCTCGTGATCCACCCGCCTCGGCCTCCCAAAGTGCTGGGATTATAGGCTTGAGCCACCGCGCCCAGCGAGTCAAATTTTTAAAGACAGACTGTCTTTTAAAAGTAAGACCAATGTGAAACATAGTATGGCTTACCCCTACTTTAAATGGTGCCAGAAGGCTGAAATTCTAGACTGATTCCACTTCAAGATATTGCATCTTACATGCAAGCTGGGCTTACAGTCAGAGCAGAGATTGTTCTGCTGCTGGCTGTGCCTTTGTCTCCACTTTGCTGCCCCACTCTGCTGCCCACTCTGCCATCTCTCTCTCTCTCTCTCCCTTTTTTTTTTTTGAGACGGAGTCTCACTCTATCACCCAGGCTGGAGTGCAGTGGCATGATCTTGGCTCACTGCAACCTCCACCTCTCAGGTTCAAGGGATTCTCGTGCCTCAGACTCCCGTGTAGCTGGGACTACAGGCATGCACCACCAAGCCTGGCTAATAGTTTCGGTATTTTTAGTAGAGATGGGGTTTCACCTTGTTGGCCAGGCTGGTCTCAAACTCCTGACCTCAACTGATCCACCCACCTTGGCCTTCCAAAGTGGTGGGATTACAGGCGTAAGCCACTGTGCCCAGTCCCACTTTGCCGCCTCTGAAGGTTTTAGAAGGAAGATGGACAAAGTTTGAATATAAAATAAATATACCATGGGTAAGGCATACCAGAAAGGTTCCTCCTTATCCCTAAATATAGCCCATGAGGGTAGAAAGTTTCCAGTTCCTTTCTACCTATATCCTATAAATTCTTCAATAAAGGAAACCTTTATAACAGTGCTTCTGAAATATACAAATACCTTAGAATGACTAATTAGAAGCCCATCATTATGCTCAACAAAGATAAATATTAACAAGGAATGTAAATGTATAAAAACATTAGACAGGAGAGATGAGGCTTAGGGTCAACACAGAGGTCACCAGAAAAAGAGAAGAAAGACATGGGTACAGAGAGGGAGGTAAAATATGAAAGATATTTCCTGTTACCTAACAATACTCCCACTACAAGCCTGGATAGTATGCCAGAGAATGAACTAAAGGAGTAAAATTCATGGACTTTATGATAGCTTTTTTCAATTGACTGTGAGGGTCTGTGGACTTCCTCCCAGAAGGCAGAAGATTACTGGCACACTGCCAAGGCAAAGTCAGTGTATGTACACTAGTTTCTGCAAATTAGAACATAACAAATTCTCAACGACCCATGATCTGATTCTTAACAGTGACTAATAAAGAATAAGTAAAAAGTACTTTATTGACAAGTTTTCCCTTACTTTCCTTTTCCACCATTCTTACATTCAGTCTGCCCTGTGCACCAAAGCAATTAATCATTTCTCCATTCCAGGAGTTGTGAACCAGAACCACAGGAAGGCAGCTCAACCAGGGGCATCCTGTTGCTTACCTCCAGCATGTGAGAAAGTGGCAAGGACTCTGGCCCCATGCGAAGAAGATGAAGCCAAATAACTTTCTTGAGTCAGTGTTTGTAGGGTGGTTTGTGTGCTCAATGTTCTATAATTTTTTTTTTTTTTTTTTTTTGGGGTTGAGTTTTTGCTCTTATTTCCCAGGCTGGAGTGCAATAGCATGATCTTGGCTCATCACAACCTCCACCTCCCAGGTTCAAGTGATTCTCCTGCCTCAGCCTCCTGAGTAGCTAGGATTATAGGCATGTGCCACAATGCCTGGCTAATTTTATATTTTTAGTACAGACAGGGTTTCTCCATGTTGGTCAGGCTGGTCTCAAAGTCCTGACCTCAGGTGATCCACCTGCCTCAACCTCCCAAAGTGCTGGGATTACAGGTGTGAGCCACCGTACCCAGCCTATGAATTCTTCAATTACAGATGTTCCTACTAAATTAAAATATATTGATGCTTTCTTTTTTTTAATTTTTCTTTGTTTTACTGCAAGATATATTGATGCTTTCTAAAGTCAAATATAAAGATGGTATATCATTATTTGCTTTTAATACTGAGGATTAAGATTTACTTTTTTTTTTTTGAGATGGAGTTTCACTCTGTCACTCAGGTTAGAATGCAGTGGCACAATCTCGGCTCACTGCAACCTCCACCTCCTTGGTTCAAGTGATTCTCCTGTCTCAGCCTCCTGAGTAGCTGGGATTACAGGCGTATGCCATCACACCCGGCTACTTTTTGTATTTTTAGTAGAGACAGGTTTTCATCATATTGTCAGGCTGGTCTTGAACTCCTAACCTGCCTTGGTCTCCCAAACTGCTGGGATTACAGGTGTCAGCCACTGCGCCCGGCCAAGATTTCCTTTTTGCATGTACTTTTTATTTGTGAAATATTCATATAAAAGCTGCCGCATATGTAAATTTCAGTTTGTGGAACAAAGGTCATCTATTGCAGCCTTGCTTTGGATATCATTTTTGCTCCATCTTGCTAACTCTCAGGTGACAAACGAGCTTGGTCCTGATTAAGAGGGAAATATCACACCATATTACCAACACCTTTGGTTGTTCTTCATAAAAAGAATCTTATCTGGGCTTGCTTAGCTTGTCATATCTTAGCCTGTTACAACGCTGAAAATACATAATTAGATACTGTGCATATTAAGCATGATTCTGTGAAAGAAAGGAGAACAAAGGGGAAATGTTGAAGGGGAATATGTGTGCATTAATAAAAGGCAATAATTCCTTTGCAGTGGATTACTTCAAACATGAAGACAGAGACAGGAACCTCATTAAAGAACATTTTAGTTATAGTATATAGCTATAACTAAACTATAGTATATAGTATCCAACATGTTGACATCTGGACAAACAGAAAGAGCAATTTCACATTACAAAGGAGTGTGATGAGTACACATCATTTCACAATGGAAACCAGTGAACAAGAAAATAGAAAAGAAACATACCAACAAGATCAGACATATTTTTAAATGTGCTGCATTTAATGCAATCCAAGACTATCAACAATTAAGATGCTGTGACAACATGCCACTGCCATTTGTGGAAACAGTTAAAGCATTTTGCACTGATGACTCAGTGACCACAAACAGGCAAACAATTAATGCAACAAAATGGCTAATGCGTTCATAGTAACATACAACAGAATAATCTTCCAACCACAGCATTCTTCCCAGAGTTTGAAAGAATTATGGCATATGGACTGGAAGGACACAAAGTGCTTACAGTATTAAATACCAAGATATTTACTTTGGCACAAAATTTGTGTTCCAACCAAATAAAATGAGATTTCTTCTAAAACACATATCTTTAGTAAGGTAAAAACGAACACATTACAAAATTGATATGTCCACAAGAAATTAAAAAAATTTTACAGTATTTTTTCATTAGGAACAAACATAAAGACAGAAGAAAAGCAATCATTGCCAAATTTAGGAAACTACAAGGAAAGAAAAGTGCAAAGAAAAACTGCATTGATTAAGCAGATCTTCTAGAAACAACTTTGGGAAAGTTCATTTAATATTAAAGACAAAGAGTTGTCTTCAGCTTCCTTCTAATTCATAAAGAATCCTTTTAAGAAAGTTTACAACTGGGGTGGTCCTTGATCTACAGATCAAGCTGTATCAGCCTTCCTCATCTCCCGAGCTGGCCAGGAGTCAATGCAGGGAGTGGTATGAGGCCAGCAGGACTGAAGGCAGCTCTTACTGCCCTGCTGTCAACTTCAAGGCTTTGGGAAGTGAAATATACTTATCTTGCTCAGGAAGAAATTGGGTAGGGTTTCTGTTCCAAAGTCAACCTTTATGACTTCAACACAAATTTTTAAAAAGCACCACTCAAGTCAAGGTTTTAAGCAGAATGACATGAAAAGTGAGCATGCACATTTATGAATAAGGTGAAAAGGGGGTAGGAGGAAGAAAATAAAAGGCCACAGAACATGTGTCTGGTTGGCTGCCTGGCTATTAGGCGAATTTTAGTAACTTGTCAGGCCATTATTTACCTGAGGGGTTCAGACAGCATTATATTATGGCCTCAGTTTGCTTTCTAAAAGTATTCTAAGTTACATACGATATTCTCTTTCAAAGTTAAACAATAAATCGAGAGACCTGGTACAAAGGGTTTCTCATATAACTGAACTTGTAGAGAAAAATTAAAATGTAGTTTTGTATATTCATATTTTTGAGACCAACCCTATTGAAGAATTCTCTCTATATGGACCATAATACGCAGCTAGAAATCACCAAGCAGAGATGTTCCAAGTATCAATTTTGTGATGGGTAATGTGACTTTCACTTGCCTTTATTTCTAACTAGCATGGATATCTGATTTGCTTTTGGCTTTAAGTCCAACCATAATTGGGCTTATAACGTCTTTTCGCTTTACCTCTTTCTGTACATCCTTTGCTTGGTTTTCAGCCTTACTGAGAAGAGTTTTTAAATCAGTTGAATCCCGAAGATGCTGTTCTTTCAAGGATCCCACTTGATTCTCAAGCTCTTTCCTAGACATCTGAAGGATGCTGAGATCACTGGTAAGCTCTAAACTCTGCTTCTGAGAACTGCAATATAAATATTGACAGATAGTTATTCACAGGTAGAAACTGGACACAGAAAGAAGTCCAATTTCTTATACATTTCACTAGAAGGGACAGAGTGGATTTCAGAGAAAAAAAGAAAAGTATAAAAAAGAATGAAATATTTTCATTGAATACGCAAAAGGCATCAAAACACTAAAAAAATGCACGTTTAAAGGTGTATCCCATCAGATATACACAAAGCTTGAAAATTAAAAAAAAAAAATAGAAGGTAATTAACTGTATATTTTGTTGTATCAAATTGTATTAATTTTATAATAAAAAGTTTCAGTGTAGTTCTTTTTTTTTTTTTTTTTTTTTTTTTTTTGAGACGGAGTTTCGCTTTTGTTACCCAGGCTGGAGTGCAATGGCGCGATCTCGGCTCACCGCAACCTCCGTCTCCTGGGTTCAGGCAATTCTCCTGCCTCAGCCTCCTGAGTAGCTGGGATTACAGGCACGTGCCACCATGCCCAGCTAATTTTTTGTATTTTTAGTAGAGACGGGGTTTCACCATGTTGACCAGGATGGTCTCGATCTCTTGACCTTGTGATCCACCCGCCTCGGCCTCCCAAAGTGCTGGGATTACAGGCTTGAGCCACCGCGCCCGGCCGGTCAGTGTAGTTCTTCTACAGGAAAAGAATACAAATATTTCAACAATTTCTCCTAAGTTTAAGTAATTGACAAATAGAATGGGGATCAGAAACTTAAAGCTTAGGAGCCACTGCCAACTCAAGTAAAGATAAACCTATTCAAATGAGAAGACACACCAAATTAAGAAAAGAGCATAAGACAAAGAAGTAGGAGGCTGAGTTCTAGACACCCCCAGCTCTGCTACTGTTTAGCTGGGGGATGTTAAGCAAGTCACTTAACTGGTACATTTCATTTACAGAGTAAACATTTTCTGAGCTCTTAGACCTGTATTAGGTACCATGTTATATAGACATAACTAACACAAGGACAGTCTCAGTGTCCTTCACTGCCAAATAACAGGATTGAACTCATTAACTTCTGAGGCTGCTTCCAAGGCTAAATTCTATGATCACTTTTTTTTTTTTTTTTTTTGAGACGGAGTTTCGCTCTTGTTACCCGGGCTGGAGTGCAATGGCAGATCTCGGCTCACTGCAACCTCTGCCTCCTGGGTTCAAGCAATTCTCCTGCCTCAGCCTCCTGAGTAGCTGGGATTACAGGCACGCGCCACCATGCCCAGCTAATTTTTTGTAGTTTTAGTAGAGACGGGGTTTCACCATGTTGACCAGGATGGTCTCGATCTCTTGACCTCGTGATCCACCTGCCTCGGCCTCCCAAAGTGCTGGGATTACAGGCGTGAGCCACCGTGCCCGGCTATGATCACTTATAATTTGATGTTAAAAAAATCTGACTTAAAATATATGAGAACAGCTTGATATGTGTGAAGAGAAATTCCTTATTCAATTCCTTCTTCCATAGCCCAGACAACAGAGAATAAAAGGTCTGTATAGTATAGCTGTGTAAGGGAATTTGGCTCCACTACATAGCTATAGGAGTATAAGGTTTTCAAGGTGACAGTTTTACATCTTTCAAAATGGATCAATCAAAAAATCACACTCACGGCCGGGCGCGGTGGCTCAAACCTGTAATCCCAGCACTTTGGGAGGCCGAGGCGGGTGGATCACAAGGTCAAGAGATCGAGACCATCCTGGTCAACATGGTGAAACCCCGTCTCTACTAAAAATACAAAAAATTAGCTGGGCATGGTGGTGCGTGCCTGTAATCCCAGCTACTCAGGAGGCTGAGGCAGGAGAATTGCCTGAACCCAGGAGGCGGAGGTTGCGGTGAGCTGAGATCGCGCCATTGCACTCCAGCCTGGGTAACAAGAGCGAAACTCTGTCTCAAAAAAAAAAAAAAAAAAAAAAAAAATCACACTCACTACTGTAACTGAACTACTATAGAGTCTGAATCCTGTTCTGATTGTATGCTTCACAGATTCTTTGGAGTGGGTCTGATGTTGTCAAGCCAATACAGCTAGGAATTAAATGACACATAAGACCCTGTAAAGGAAAACTAGCTTCTAAATACTGCTTAAATGCTGGGGAGTCTTATCAAGTAAATTTGGGGCATCAGAAAAGTTTAAGAAAAAGAACTAATCTGTCTTAAATACTTTAGGTGAGTTTAGGCAGATTATTTGACCAATGATCTAATATATTCCACCTTTCCGGGGCCTAATATTTTTAAACCATATGCTTCTACTCACAAGGAGTTTGTAGGCTTGCCTTTCAACACTTAAAACTTGAAATAACTGAAAACAGCCTTTAATAATCTGCCAGATTCCAAGTAATCACATCTTTAAAATAAGGGATCTAACCTGAATCTTTAATAAAATATCAATAATTTCAGAACAATAATAACTAAGATAAGCAACACTGGCAAAAAAATGGATATTTCTTGCTTGGCAGATTATTAAACTAAACAGTATTAATATCCTAATGTATTCTAAATGTAAAGAACTTGGGTATCTGCATCATAATCTTATGCACACTTCATACCAAACAATTTATCCAAATGTGCTGTCACACAGAAAATCAATTCATTCCTTATTTTATTTATTTATTCTTTTAAAGACAGAGTCTTGCTCTGTTGCCCAGTTTGGAGTGCTGTGGTGTGATCACAGCTCACTACCTTTGATCTCCTGGGCTTAAGTGATCCTTTTGCTTCAGCCTTCTAAGTAGCTGGGATCATAGGTACATGCCACTCCACCCAGCCTCCTTAATTTTTATATATAGGCCAGGTGTGGTGGCTTACACCTGTAATCCCAGCACTTTGGGCGGCCAAGGTGGGTGGATCACTTGAGGTAAGGAGCTGAAGACCAGCCTGGCCAACAGGATGAAACCCCATCTCTACTAAAAATACAAAAAATTTAGGTAGGCGTGATGGTGCATGCCTGTAATCCCAGCTACTCAGGAGGCAGAGGTGGAGGTTACAGTGAGCAGAGATCATACCACTGCACTCCAGCCTGGGCAACTGAGCATGACTCTACCTCAAAAAAAATAAAATTCCATATAGATATATATGAGATGTGTATATATATCTCATGTATATTTCATATATGATATATATCACACACACATATATATATATTTATATTCTTGACCTTTATTTTGTCCCATTCATATTTTGAAATTGCTTTTATAAAGTTTTACATGTTATAAACAAAGTAAAACATTTGTTTTTATTTTTATTTATGTTTTCTTAAGACAGGGACTGGCTCTGTTACCCAAGTTGGAGTAAAGTGGTGTGATCATGGCTTAGTGCAGTCCCCACCTCCTGGGCTCAAGGAATCCTCCCACTTCAGCCTCCTGAGTAGCTGGGACTACAGGCACATACCACCAGGCCAAGCTAATTTGTTGCATTTTTTGTAGAGATGGAGTTTCATAATGTTGTCCATGCCTGGCCAGAATAAACCAATTTTAAACTTAAATATGGTAAATTCCACTAAATTTGCTGGAATAAATCTAATACATTCACTGATTTGCTTGTAAAGTATTAGATTCTAGAAAGATTTAACAAGTTTCAGAGAATTCTTGGTCTTATGTATTATTCTTCTTCATATAACCCTATTTGAAATTCAGAAAATTAATTTCTATCTTTCAATAGCACAAATTCCTCTTTTGTTCTGTTGGCTTGTTTGATATAGGATTTGGTTCTGTCAGCCAGGTTGGAGTGCACTGGCATGACTGTGGTTCACTGTAGTCTTGACCTCCTGGGCCCAAGCAATCCTCTCACATCAGCCTTCCCAGTAGCTGGGACTACAAGCATGCGCCACTACACCCAGTTAATTTTTGTATTTTTTTGTAGATACAGGGTTTTGCCACGTTGACCAGGCTGATCTTGAACTCTCAGACTCAAGGGATCCTCCCAAAGTGTTGGCATTACAGGTGTAAGCCACTGCACCCAGCCTTACAAATTCTTCATCACAGTCACTTCCTGATCACCCTTACTAAAAGAAGAGATCACTGGTGTGAAAGAAAAGCAATTGACATTTAAAATTTATTAATTTATAGGGCAAGTTCAACTATGAATTACAGACTTCTGTTGTTTGTTCAGGGTTTCCTTGGGACATTTAATGAATCTGTATTCCATGAATACAAGGAAAGGACATGCAGGATAATGGTGGTGGCAAGAAAAAAAAAAAAAAAAAAAGCTTAAGTATTTATTCAGTATGGTTAACCTGCCAAATAGCCAAACAGAGACTGGCTGAACATTTACTCCTGAAAAGTATTTAAATATTAAAATTAAATTTAATTTAGATGAAAATTTAAGTTAAGGAAATATTTATATCTGAAAAACAGAGTTCTTGCATACTTGTGCAATTCTTTTTCTTGCCGTTGCAGTTCTGATGATAGTGAAACATTTTCCCTTTTTAGAGAATGGCATTCAATTTCCAATGCATTCCATTCCTTTCTCAACTTCTCCAGTTCACCTAAAATAGTCCCAAAACATATTTGTTAATACAGAAATATAACTTCCATAATATTTCAAAGGATAAAGAAAAATATTTCAGAGAAGAACATCACTTTTCTCCTTAAAAGCATGTACATTTTACATGGTTAATTATTTGATTCCTGTTACTTTGCATGTATACCTCAAGGAGTGATATCAGCTTGTATTTGAATAGTATTTTTTTCGACTTCACTTTTATAAGGCAAGCAATTTTTAACAATTTTAAAATAAAATATAAAACTGTAAAAATATAAATTTAAGTAGAACTTGCAGACCTGAAAATACATTTTTAGTTCCAATATAGAAACACTGGATTATACAACTGATTGATATCAAAGAAAAAAAAGTCTGCAAAACCTGCATGGTGTTTTTTTTAAACAAGTTATGAAGTTATCAATGTCAAAAGTTAAGAGTTTTATGTAAAATACATTTATTCACCTTGCAACCTTGTTGCTTCCTCTCTCTGCTGGTCCTCACACTGTTGACATCTAAGCTGAAAACTGTTTTGCAGACTCGTGATTTCTTTCTCATATTCAGATGCTGCTTTCCGCCACCGCTCAAGCTCAGCTCTCACCTTCTTAAGCTCTTCTTGTAAAGAGGCAATGTCAGTGTCCCGCTCAGAGGCAGCCTTTTCTGCTGCTTGATGAAGGAGCAAAATTTCATCTTGGGCACTAAGCAATTCATCCCTAGTACTTGTGATTTCTCTGTCCTTCTCCTCCCGGAGATTCTCAATATTGATGTGTAACCTCTGCAACTGGGCTGCAAAAGTATATCCATCATTTTCTCGGCCCATTGGAATTAGAAATAAAAGAACAGTCCATACAGGTTTGTAGTTAATGCATAGCCTGGGTTGTCAGAGCTGTTGCTTTTGATTAAAGTGTATAAAAAATCCACATTTGATGCCGAAAGTGTCAAAATACAGATATCAAAGAGGAAAAAAAAACCAGTGATCTTTATCTCCCCAATACACAGAAAACTACTTATAACATTTTGGTATTTATCCTTCTAGATTTTTTTCTATACATTTATACACATATAAAAACAAACATTAAATAGGGAGTGATCACAATATATACAGTGTTCCCCATCCTTCAGTTGATGAAATTTTTTTTTTTTTTTTAAATATTCAGGAGAGAGCTGGAGTATGATGAAACTCTTTCAACAAAAAATAGTTATGGTATATATAACTTATTTGCCCAACCCTTTATTTTTGATATTTTAGGCTGTTCAGTGTTTAAACACTATATACCATGCTATTTTCTTTTCTTTTTTTTTTTTTTTTAGGGTGAATCCTATGTGTAGAATTGCTTGGTCAAATGGTAAGCATTAAACAGTTGATGCTCTTGATTAATTTTTCTATTAAAATGTCAGTTCTTTAAAGATGCCTTTTCTGATGACTTCTATAAAAAAACAGCCCACTGTTGTTCTCTGGCTCTTTACCCTGCTTTATTTTCCTTTGAAGTCCTTATTGGACATCATATTATCTATTAATCTGCTTATTGTTTATCTTTTCTACTAGACTGTACACCTCATGTGTGTAGGACATTTGTTTTGCTCACGGCTGTCAAGTACTGGGGATATCCGAATATCTGACATAGAAAACAATCAAGAATTATTGGTTGAATTAATGAGTTAATAAAATTAATGAATACCACCTCATTGAAGCGGCAAATATGTATATTTAAAATATCTGGTTTTGTGCTCATGACCCAAACCGGAAACAACTTGTATAAAATCAGACTTGGTGGGCTGGGTGTGGTGGCTCACACCTGTAATCCTAGCACTTTGGGAGGCCAAGGTGGGTGGATCACCTGAGGTCAGGAGTTTGAGACCACCCTGGCCAAAATGGTGAAACTCCATCTCAAAAAAAACCCAAAAAACAGACAAAAAAAAACTTCGTGCAGAATAAGAAAATTAATATTGGTTACCATATTATAAGGAAATTGTAGATTTAAAAAGTTTCAAAGGAAAATAATTATAAGAGGATTTAGTGGTGGGAGAAAGGGAAGTTGCTATGTAAGTAAACATTAAGAAGATATTAGACTTTCTAAGTTTGTAGGAAGGACTGAGAGGTAATAAGTTTGGAATCTGAAAGGGCACAATGGCCAGAAATGATCATGATTTGTTGATACAGCTGTGAAATACACATGCTGGCACTAGGGGGCACTCAATGATGCCTGGGCAAGACAGGTTTAAAACAAAGGCAGCACTATATCACAGAACCTTTAGGAAAAATTGCCCCTACACAGTCTAGGATGAAAATAGAGATTCAAATCAGATTTATACAAACTAATGGGTAATGGTATTAAACTACAATAGGAGTTTTAAGAGCTTTCAATTTAAAAACACATATGACAGGCTGGGCACGGTGGCTCACGCCTGTAATCCCAGCATTTTGGGAGGCAGAGGGGGGCGGATCATGAGGTCAGGAGTTTGAGACCAGGCTGACCAATATGGAGAAACCACATCTCTACTAACTAAAAATACAAAAAATTAGCCGGGCGTGGTGGTGCATGCCTGTAATCCCAGCTACTCGGGAGGCTGAGGCAGGAGAATCACTTGAACACGGGAGGCGGAGGTTGTGGTGAGCCAAGATACAGCTATTGCACTCCAGCCTGGGCAACAAGAGCGAAACTCTTGTCTCAAAAAACAAAACAAAACAAAAAAATTTACCACATACAACATAACTTAGAAATTCTAATTTTAAATAATTCAAATGTCTCACTCAAAAAACAAAACCAAAAAGACTAGTTTTTCTCTGGGATATTTTTGGGCAAGTATCTTGGGTTTCATACAATGACTCTTTCTTCTCTTCTGAATAGTGACTACTTGTCTATTTAATTTCTTCCCCACCTATTTCTCAAGCTAAAATTTTAAGACATTAGCTCCTTCTTTGACAAGAAGACAAAAAAATTTAGGAATTTTACAATGGCATGGGAAAGGAAGACCTCTCCTGAGTTATACAATCTCCTCATAATACACCAGGAGCTCCAGCTGGAAGTCAACACTTGACAGGCAGAGGTCTTTCTGGAAATTTCTGTAATGACCCTGTGATAGCCCAGACAAAGAAATAGCAAAATTGTGATAAGAAGAATAGCCATTATCAATGAAGTCAGTGCAGAGACCATTATCCTATTCCATGTGATATATAATTTTTCTTGAAATACAAGTGTGTTGTGAGCATTAGATGTCAATATATCTACACGAGCAACTAATATATACACATACCAGCAAGCTCAAAGTGCTGATGCACAGAGTGGCTCAAATAGATTTCCTATCCAAAGGCCCTCTGTAGGAACTCATGACATAACCCACAAAGTGACAGTCTTACCAACTCCAAATCTCCACCTCTGCTTTTTCTACTCTGTCTAAATACTGGAGGTACTGGACCATCTTCCCTGGAATTTTCTTAAAAAAAAAAAAAAATAAAGCTCCACCAAGAGCTGTTAAAATGTGAGGTTCTAGAGAATCAAAGCCATGATTAATGGGGACTCTCTGCTTTCTTACTTTCCATTCCTTTTTTTTGAGATGGAGTCTTGCTCTGTCTCCTAGGCTGGAGTGCAGTGGTGTAATCTCAGCTCACTGCAACATCTGCCTCCTGGGTTCAAGTGATCCTCCTGCCTCAGGGGAGGTGAAATTAAAGGTATGCGCCACCATGCCCAGCTAATTTTTGTATTTTTAGTAGAGACAGGGGTTTGCCATGAGGGCCACGCTGGTCTCGAATTCCTGACCTCAGGTGATGCATCCAAATGCTGGGAATACAGGCATGAGCCACTGTACCGGGCCTCTATTCCTTTTGAATCACTAAAAACAAACACGCGATAACTATCTCAAATAGCCTTGGGGCCTTCCATACCTTGAAGAACCTGTATTTGTTTAGTGGATTCCTCAACTTGATTTCGATATGCTTTTCTTTCTTCTTCCAAAAGAGCTAAATGTAAAAACACAGTATCTATTAATAGTTTTGTGAATTAATGAAAGTATTGAGTTGAGCAGATAGAAATTTCTTTTAAAATTCTCTCCTAAAAGCTAACTGAAAGAAACAAAAGTTAGGGAGCAAATATTATCAGTATTAGTAGTTAGTTTAAAGATTTTAGGAGCACAAAACTGTAGTGAGTAATAAATCTATTCAACTGAGTAGTAGACTTTTCTGGACCTGGGACCACCAAGATAATATGTTCTTTCCTTAACATGACAAGCAGTCTTCACAATTGTTAATCAGCATTTGAACTTAAATTTTTAAAAAGACTTAAAATTCTCATATTTACTGCCAAGCACATAGTAAACACTAAACTAAATAATTGCTGTATACTAAATATTTTTTCATTGTAATTTAATATATCGGCCTGGATCCTCCAAAAGGTTCAAGTTAAGTGAATACCAATTCTAATTTCTTTGAGAAGCAGGAAAGAAGTAGTAACAAGAAGTTCCCAGTTCCCACCTGGGATTTAAATCTTCCTACTAGGCAGGAAGGCCATCTTGGAGAACATGAGGACTCCATAGGTCATTCACTTTCTCATTTTAAGACTCTTTTGAGTTACTAATTGTCTGCAACTAGGTAGTTACTGTGAATGATACAGAAATGCAAGCTCTAGGGAACTGTACAGATGCCACTGGCTTATGACACTACGGATTAAGTGAGCTACTAGAAAAGAAAGTGGCCAGGACATTAGCTAACATTAGTTGTAACTAAAATTTAGAAATTTGAGTTTTCCTTTTGTTTTACTTAATATGCAATTAACTATTAAGATCTCTCAATTAGTAAAGATCTTACTTGATTTTCACATCAATAGTGTGAAGGTAGAGCAACTGTAACCCTTCTCATTTTACTGACCTGAAACACAAGTTTAGAGAGGTCAAGTAAACATAACAAGATCACATATCTCATAAAGTTGTGAATCTGAAACGTGCCTCCAGACTCCAAGTTTGGGACCATCCATTTATATTGTGCTGCCTCCACACATCCCTAAAGAGCCAAAGTAATCTTGATCTCACCTTGAAGTTCAAAGCATTTTTGTTTACTTGTTCTAGCTAGCTCCTGGGCTTCGATCAATTCCTTTCGAAGATGCTGTATTTCTTGTTTTGCCTCAATTTCTGACTGTGCACCCTGCGAGTCATCTGACAAAAACATGTTTATTTCAAAAGCAAGAGTTAGTATCACACTATAATCTCTACAATAAAAGACTGGTAATCTCTTTCATGTTTACACATACATAGTTAAACAACAGAACCACTGAGTTAAATAAAACTTAGAAGCAAACTCTAGTAAGCATTTTAGTAGTTGGGAGAAAACACAAATACGGTTATATATATAAGTAATCATGGTGATGACACTATAAAATATATGTTAACATAAATTATATATTCACAATTTAGCATCAAAACAAATAATTACAGTGATAGATTATAATTCATTGCTTATTAAGACTTGAAATTCAGTGAGATGAGCAAAATGCTATTCTTCTTCATCATTTTGAAATTTCTTGATAACCAGTCAGAAAAATTTTACTTGGAACTTAACTGAATATGGATAACAAAAATAAACTCTTCGTCAAAAAGCAGCTAAATTTTAGCACAATTATCCTTATTATGAAACGCAAAATAAAAACTAGGCTGAAAGCTCTACTGAGCCTACTTTGTCATCACCTTTCCCCCAACACACACATATAACAAATATCTGGGCTGGGCCCGGTGGTAACGCCTGTGAACCAGCATTTTGGGAGGCTGAGGCGGGCGGATCACAAAGGAGGTCAGGAGATCAAGACCAACCTAGCTAACATGGTGAATCCCTGTCTCTGCTAAAAATACAAAAAATTAGCCAGGCGTGGTGGCACCTGCCTGTAGTCCCAGCTACATGGGAGGCTGAGGCAGGAGAACTACTTGAGCCCAGGAGGCAGAGGCTGCAGTGAGCCGAGATCACGCTGCTATACTCCAGCTTGGGCCACAAAGCAAGACTTTGTTTCAAAAAACAAACAAAAACAAAACAAAACAAAACAACAAAATATCTGCTGAATATATTAAATGATGTAACCTAAGTGGTTTCACTGAAATAAATTAAATCCAGCATTCTATTTCAAATATGCCCCTTCCCCTAACCTCCTTCCTCTCCAGTCGCTCTGCTCTTTTTTCATTATATTAAAACTTCTGCTACTGAACACTGCCTGTAATAAACATATCATCAGGTAAGCCATATTCTTCTAGTGTATTCTATTTGAGTATCACTTTGGCTTATAAGCACCTCAGCATAATAACTTCAATCCATCAAAGAAGAGCTAAGAATAACTTTCACAATATAATTACAATAGGTTTTGGAAATTACATATACATACTTTCATATTCATAGATTATATCCTATTTTTCTCTCTAGAAAAATTTTATTCTAGGTCAGGCATGGTGGTTCATGCCTATAATCCTAGCACTCTGGGAGGCTGAGGCAGGCAGATTACCTGAGGTCAGAAGTTTGAGAACAGTCTGGGCAATATGGCTAAAACTCGTCCCTACTAAAAATTAGCTGGGTGTGGTGATGAGAATCTCTAATCCCAGCTACTCGGGAGGCTGAGGCACAAGAATCCCTTGAACCCAGAAGGCGGAGATTGCAGTGAGCCAAGATCACACCACTGCACTCCAGCTTGGACGACAGAGCAAGACTCTGTCTCCAAAGAAAGAAAAAAAGAAAAAGGAAAAAAAAAATTGATTCTGGATTCATCTACTCTAGTCAACCTGTTAATTCTTCCTTCAAAAGGTCTTTTGGCCAGGGAGGGGGCATGGAGATAAAGAGAGAGAGACTTTACAGAGATACTGTTGCATTAGCTACAAAACTCTCACAGCTCTTTCATCACTATCCACTGGAGTCTGCAAAGGTCCTGGCCCCCATTTCTGGATTTGTCATTATGTAGAACAATGCTCCTTTTTTAATAAAGGAATATTTAGGAGAGAAGCATCATAATGCCTACATCTTACATTCAAGTGGTCTGACAAAAACATTGACATTAATTCTTCAAGTAGATATTTTCCTTGTTCTGTGATAGAGTTTTCCAACCTTAACACTATTGACATTTTGGGCTGAATAAAATCTTTGCTGTGGGACTACTCTATGAATTGTAGGATGTTTAGTAGTTTTCCTGGTCTCTATCCACTAGATTCAGTAGACCCTCACCGTACCCCACCCCCCAGGTCACAACAACTAAAAATGTCTTCAGATATTGCTGAACATCCCCTGGGAGGTAAAATGTCCCATGTTGAGGACTATTGTTCTATGTTAATAATTTGATAACCAAGAAAAAAAAATTATACACACGTTTCTTTTTTATAAAAGCACTGGCTATTAATTCTGAAACAACCTTCTGGGTATTCTAAAAATGCTCAAATAAATATATTGTAGATAAAGGAAGCCACTTTTCTCGCTGTTGAAGAAGAGAATTACAGATATGAAAATAGGTAAGATAGAATTAATCCTCTGGGCTGTGCACAGTGGCTTACACCTATAATCCCAGTACCTTGGGAAACCAATGCAGGCGAATCACTTAAGGTAAGGAATTTGAAACCAGCCTGGGCAACATGGTAAAACTTTGTCTCTACTAAAAATACAAAAATTAACTGGATTTGGTGACGCACACCTGTAGTACCAGCTACTCGGGAGGCTGAGGCAGGAGAATCGCTTGAATTTGGGAGGCGGAGGTTGCAGTGAGGCGAGATCATGCCACTGCACTCCAGCCTGGGCAACAGAGTGAGACTCTGTTTCAAAAAAAAAAAAAAAGGAAAAAAGAAAAGAAAAAAAAGGATTAATCATTAATCCTCTGGTGTAGGGTATGAACTTGAATAAATCTGAAGTTATACATATAGAAATATAGATATGTGTCCAACTGTACACACACAAACATGCACAGACACTAACACTTCTTAAGTCTGTCCACTGAGTGGGGCTAGAAGCAATTATACACCAGTAGCAATGAGAACACCAAACATTTAGATCTTGGTTTCTCTTTTTTTGAGACAGGGTCTTGCTCTGTTGTACAATCTAGAGTATAGTGGTGCCATCACACTTCACTGCAGCCTCAACTTGACCTCCTGGGCTCAAGCTATCCCCCTTCCTCAGCCTCCTGAGTAGCTGGGACCACAGGCATGTGCTACCATGCCCAGCCAAAATTTTTAATTTTTTTGTAGAGATGGGGTCTTGCTATGTTGCAACAGGCTGATCTCAAACCCCTGGGCTTAAGTGATCCTTGGCCTCATAAAGTGCTGGGATTACAGGCATGAGCTACCATGCTGGGCCATGTCATAAAGAACATTACTGAGAAAACTGTCAAAATGTGAACAAGGTATATGGATTTGGGAATAGTAATGTACCCATGTTAATTTCTTAATTTTGAGAATTGTATGGTGGTTACATAAGAGAAATAAGAAATGCGCACTGAGGTATTTAAGCATAAAGGCCATCATGTCTGTAACTGATTCTTTGTTTTGTTTTCTTTCGATTCGAGACAGGGTCTGCTGTTGGCCAGGCTAGATCAGTGTCACAATGTCTACTCACTGTAGGCTCTACCTTCTGGGCTCAAGCAATTCTCATACTTCAGCCTCAAGAATAGCTGGCACTTAGCCAGACATGTACCACTGTGCCTGGCTAAGTTTTGTTGTTTTTTGGTAGAGACAGGGTCTCACTACGTTGCCCAGGCTGGTCTTGAACGCTATATACTGTTTGATCACAGAAGTGGAGATGCCAAAAATCTTTACAAATTAAGCTTAATAAACAGAGAGAGGCTGGGCGTGGTGGCTCATGCCTATAATCCAAGCACTTTGGAGGCCAAGGCAGGCAGATCACCTGAGGTCGGGAGTTCAAGACCAGCCTGACCAACATGGTGAAACTCTGTCTTAAAAAAAATAATAATAATAATAAACACAGACATAATAATCTAACTATATTCAAACTAATTGAGTACTTAGTGTGCAGATCCTCTTTCTAGAAAACCAAGTACCTTATTATTTTTTTTTAAATCAAAGATTAATGAGCAATTCTTTCTGTGTAAACGTTGATCAAGGTCTCATTGTAATCGTATAGTTGTGTGGGAAAATGCATTATTAGCTTATTGTGGCTTGGGTCCAAAGTCATTTTATCTAAATACGTAAGTCACATGGAAATAAATGTTATTTAAGAGTAACTAATATAAGTTGTAAAGATTAACAGAATCTGTTTTTTCCTTAACACGAATTATGTATCTTTAGGACTGCCTGGTATACAGTCTGGGCCAGGGGCCAGTTTTTCTCAGACCAAAGCTAAATCCTGTAAATTCATACTATAAATGAACTGACTAAATTAACCAGCCCTGGCCCACAGAATACCTACCTACATAATATCCTAAAATTAAATTTAGTGTTACAAAATATCTTTAAAAGAGTGACTGGAGATTCAACTTAAACTCTGACCTTTGCTCTAAATATATTTAAGACACACTGAACCACTTGGTAAAGGGCCATATCAAAGAATTTTTTTTCTCAAATTCTATTTTGCAGGTGCATGCTTGCGAAAGGCTGATCTAGCCAAAACATAGGTCATGCCATCAACTGATAAAAGTAACCTGGCAAGTGGATGTGTCCTCTTTCCATTATTATCACTCTTCCCTTTAGTTGCAGGCTTGGTTGATGAGAATAACCTTTGCAATGCAGGAAAATCATCTTTCCATTGTGGATATGTGTGGCCATGTGAAACAGTCTCAGGTGGCAGTCTCTTATTGTCAATTCTTACCCCTTTGCCACTCTTTCTGAACTGCCAGGTTCGTCTCAATAGCTGGATCTTTTACTTTCCCTATTATTCTCTTTCACTAGAAATTCCCTCTGCTACCACTGATCACCCCTGTGCAGAGAATTTCCAAACCTGGTTCCTGTTTTCTGTCTATAGCCTCCTTGTGTATTTTATCTTTGTACCTCTCAGGTCAATAAAACATCAGAGAAATAAAAGAAAATGACTTGTTGGTTCTAGTTTCTGTTCTGCACATCCAGCTTCACCTCTAGTTTCTAGGGTGACCATACAAAACTGGGACATCTTTGAATATGAAAGAGAGCACTTTTGATGATAATTATGCTAGGACAATAGGCATAGATGGTTCCAGGCAAACTCATAGTCACCCTTCCTGTTTAGCGTGTGCCAAATTAAAACCACTACAGCCGCCACCAGGACACTTTTTCTTCCAGAAACAAATATTTGTTAATTTTCAGTCACTCAGGGTCAAATCCTGGAGTTACGGCTGACTTTCATCTCTTTCCCATATATAGTGTCTCAGGCCAATGGATTCTAGATAAGATTACCAAGGGAGAGATAAAAGATAAGAATAACAGGGCCTCAGGTGGGTTTTGTTCTCTTAAATTTCCACAGTAATTACCCTAGTTCAGACTCTCAAATGATTAAGCCTCCTGATGGCTCTACTTGTAGCCTCTATCTACACCGTTTCATTCAATAAACCTCCCCCAAGTACAGATCTGATCATATCATTGCTGTGCTCAGAAGCCACTGAATTGTCATAATGATCACTCCACCTTACAAAACAAAGGATTATGTGAACAAACTTTAATTATATTTAGCAATCCTCAAACCCAACCAGTATGATCTAGCTTGTGATTTTTAATATTTCCTTTTTCTAAGAAGGAAATATTCTTTTATCTACTCTTCTTGTAATCCTACTCATTTAAAAATATTTTACAGATGTAAATTTAAAAAAATCTATAACATCTTTAGACAATACTAAAAAGAAATAATACCTATAATACTATAATCACATTGGAAAAAAATGAGCAATTTCTTAATTGCTTGATATCCAGTCAGTATTAACATTTTCCATTGTCCCAAATTTATTTTACAGTTGAATTGTTGGAATGAAGATTCATACAAGGTTCATGCATTGTAGTTAGTTGACATATCTCTTAAATCTCTCTTAATTTATAGGATTTCCCCAATCCCCTTTCCTTTTTTTCCCCTTCTAATTTAATTGCTAAAGAAGCTGGGTTGTGTGTCCTGTAGAATCTTCCACATTCTGGATTTTGCTGGTTGTCCTACAAATTGGCAATCATACAGAAATGCAAGGGAAGTCTTAGAAGTTCTTTCACCTTAACTTTAATCAAGGTTAGGGAAACTCTGACCCATCTTCATCAATGGCCCCTGAAGCAATTACTAACAGCATCTTCCCACAGCAACCCCCACTCCATGCATCTTATATTTTCCAGTCTTTTTCCTGCATCTTCTCCCTTCATTACCTCTTCCTTGAGTCTGACTTCCTAGGCTATATTGTGAATGCTTTTATAGATACTGTTTAGTGGTACTCATGGATTAAAAGTATTTGTTCCTGATATCTGCCAAAGTGACAAACAAATAAATGCATTACTAATTAGCAAAAATCCATCACCAACAGCTCCTTGTTCCTAAATAATGCAGGAAATAATTTTAAAACCCTACAATCTTATTTAATTAATAAGGAGTTACTCAGAGTGCTTCAAGACATAGGTCCGATTTTATCAGTCACCATCATTATCATGATCACTGTCTTCATTATGGTGGTTAACACTTTAGTTCCCAACACCATGGTAAATGGTCCATGCACACTCTCTCACTCAATCTTCACAATAATCCTACAGATTTCTCCAATCTAATACATGAAAAAGCCCTGAGTCACAGAGGGGTTAAGCAATTTGCCAAGGACATATTACAAACAAATGGCAAAGCCATGACTGAACCCAGAGTTCTTTGACTCTCAGCTTTGTGGCTAGTGTTACTTTCCTAATGCTCTTGTGGTTTTATAATTTTAATGTAAGAAGACTATTATTCATTCATTCATTGAATACCTGAGTTTTACTAAATACCTGCATTGTGGTAGGTAATGAGATAAAAATCAAATTTAAAACAGACTTACAAAAATCAGAAAAGCACTAATAATAGTTGAATACAATTAACACAATCATAAACACTATAAATCAATCTTAAATTGGCAGTTAAAAAGATTTCTGGGAACACTGCATGCCTATACCAAAACATCTCATGTACCCCATAAATGTATATACCTACTATGTACCTACAAAAATAAAAACCAAAATACAACAACAACAAAAAAAGAAAAAAATAATTTCTGGGAGAGTTCTGCAGTATGAAAGACCATAAAGAGGGCTACTTTTGTACGGGTATGTTCATTACTCATTTACCTCCCTTCTTTTGTTTCCACGTTCCCATAAAGGCCCACAGAGTCTGACATTGATTCTTTCAGTACCAGTAACTACACTTTATACCATAATGGTACTGTATTTCCGAGATGAGATTTCTGGACCATACTAACATTAACTTATATTTTATTATGACATTAGAAAAAAATCATGCCTTATCAATACCAAAGATCACCTAAGAAGAGTACAACTCAGGGCCAGCACAGTGGCTCATGCCTGTAATCCCAGCACTTTGGGAGGCTGAAGCGGGAGGATCATGAGGTCAGGAGTTCAAGAACAGCCTGGCCAACATGGTGAAACCCCATCTCTACTAAACATACAAGAAATTAGCCGGGCGTAGTGGTGTGTGCCTGTAATCCCAGCTATTCAGGGGGCTGAGGCAGAAGAATCACTTGAACCCAGGTGGCAGAGGTTGGAGTGAGCAGTGACTGGGCCACTATACTCCAGCCTGGGGAACAGACTGAGACTTTGTCTCATAAAAAAAAAAAAGTATAAATCGGTAACAGTGCTCCTTCTTATATAATCCCAAAGCTCGGGGCCTGGACAAGGAGATTCACTATTACTCCAGCCATAACAACTGGCACTTCCACAAAGAGAAATTTCCATAGGCTGCTACTGATCCCAGAGAGTTGTCTGGTGTTAGTACACCACTACCACCATTTTTAATTAATCCATTGGGCTGAACTTAACAATATATGTCAACTTTTCTTGTGTACAATAAGGCAACATAAAAGAGACTGAATGTTGGCAATTTTCCAGTAAACCATCCCCAAGAAACTTTATTTTAAAAACATTTTTATAAATGCTGATTATTTTCTACCTACTTCATTCTAAACAAGTAAATATCAAGAAATACATGTACTTCCTATTTAGAGGTGAGACAAAGAGTTCATTATATGTACTGCTTATCACCATCTAAAATTTCTTAGTCCAAAATTTCTAGAAGAGTGTCATAAGACTCTGGGGATATTTACTAGAAGATGAAGACGACAGGAAATACGGAAATTTACAACTGCTACCATATGATAATAGAGCAAACTGGTGAACCTTTCAAGAAAGAATTCCACCTTATCCTAATTATGTTAAAAGTGCTAATAAATTCCTATTAGAGACACAAGGGTAAACAAAAAACACAGAATTTCACATTCTACCACTTAATACTTTGTCCCTCATAATCTTGACTGATTCAAAATTATTCTACAATTGTTTGAAATATTGGGCATGAGCACCAAAATTTTAAATTTTGGTTCCTGCTACTTTACAGAACCTATCTTAATCTCTTAACTAAAAATTAAAACTTTACATAATATATAGAACAGATTTTATGGCAAAGGGCGATTTTATGCCCTGGTTTACAATGTCATAAAAACATGTTAACGTACCTTTTAAAAGGGACACTTTGGCAAGAGGTTCATTTAGGTCTTGGTCATCCATTTGTGCGTCTAGAGAGAGGAAAAAAAAAAAAATATATATATATATATATATATATATATATAATTACAGGCAGTATTCAGATCTATCAGCAAGCTATCATTATCAAAATAAACAATCGGAATTGATACTTCTATTACATTTGGATAGTTGAAAGTAGTTTTAACAAAATATCCAAGATTCAAAGGGAATGACCTGGTGAAGCATTTTTTTCCCCCAAACACAAACTTTGAAATCTCCACTCATGTTAACCTATATACCTAAACTGCCATTAACAGCTGCAGGTCCATAAACATTAGGTTAAAACTCACCTGTAGTGTCGTCACTGCTTTTTTCCTTGCTTGGACTCAGAGTGTCTGATAAATCAGATTCCTTTGCTCTTGTCTGGTTTTCTACCAAGAAAAAAATAAAAGTAAAATCTTATTACAGTTAAATATCTTCTATCAATAAAACTGCTTCAGGCTACGAATGCTCAAAATCTACAGGTACGTAAAGTACTTTTAAAATAGGTCAGGTCATTGAATCTCTTACTTCTTCACCACCCTTGTCCAAAATGGAATGCTGGTTATTACACGTAGCTCATATTAAATTATAATGTGGATCATGTCTGCTTTGCTGAGGGCTGGGGCTTTTGTTCAAGGCTGTCCACTTGCCAACTAGAAACACAAACGAAGCAAGCTTTGCTAAAGTATTCAGAGAACTGCAACAAATACAGTAAAATTCCCAGGACAATGTGGACACTGTATAAAGATAATTAAAGGAAAAGGCTCTGTTACATAAAACACTAGTAAGAAGGCCGCCTTAGTAAGATGTGTACTCAAATAATAAAACTCTTAAAAAAAATCATGTTAGTTCTTATAAAGAAAGTAAATTAACAGCCTTTTATTTCTAAAGATAACTGTCCCTGAATCACAGTAAGAAAAAACTTTTTTTTTTTTTTTTTTTTTTTTTTGAGACAGGGTCTTGCTCTGTTGCCTAGGCTGGAATGCAGTGGCAGGAATACAGCTCACTACAACCCCGACCTCCTGGGCTCAAGAGATCCCCCTGCCTCAAGCTTCCAGAGCAAGCTGGGACTTCAAGCTCATGCCACCATACCCAGCTATCTCTTTAATTTTTGGTAGAGATGAGGTCTTGCTATGTTGCCTAGGCTGGTCTCAAACTCCTGGCTCAAGTGATTCTCCAGTCTCAGTCTCCCAAGCACCAGAATTACAGGCATGAGCCATTGCACCTGGCCAAGAAAAAAACTTTTTTTTTTTTTTGAGACGGAGTTTCGCTCTTGTTACCCAGGCTGGAGTGCAATGGCACGATCTCGGCTCACCGCAACCTCCGCCTCCTGGGTTCAGGCAATTCTCCTGCCTCAGCCTCCTGAGTAGCTGGGATTACAGGCACGCACCACCATGCCCAGCTAATTTTTTTGTATTTGTAGTAGAGACGGGGTTTCACCATGTTGACCAGGATGGTCTCGATCTCTTGACCTCGTGATCCACCCGCCTCGGCCTCCCAAAGTGCTGGGATTACAGGCTTGAGCCACCGCGCCCGGCCGAAAAAAACTTTTAAAAAAGTTTTGAAGTTATTTACAAGAGGTCTTCTACCTGGTCCAATGAAGACATCTTAGGCCTAATTTTCAAAGAATTGTCCTCAGAAATCCTAACTATAGGCCCAACAGTTTATTAACGATAACTGGCAATTAATTAGGCCCCAGATCCTCATCTGTAATGGCACATTTGTATATACAATGGGATTCCTTTTTTTCTTTTTGAGGGGGGGGTGTCACTACGTTGCCCAGGCTAGTCTTGAACTCCTGGGCTCAAGTAATCCTCCCGCCTCAGCCTCCCAAGTGCTGGGATTACAGGTGTGAGTCATCACACCTAGCCTATGGCATTCTTTAGGGTAGCATTTGCAGAGAATGTCATTTCTCTGAATAAAATTCTATAGCATCTTCCCGTTCTCCACAAGGTCTCAGTCAAGCTTTACATGGCAGAATTTAGCCATAATCTGGTCCCCGCATTAATTCCCACAGGAGCTCTGCTTTGGTCATGTTAGCTTCCTTATAGGGCTGATACATGCCACCTTATTATGTCCTGCAATTATTTGTTTCATCTGATATTTCCCTAACCTCAAAACAGCCATTCTCTCTACTTGGCCTATTCATTCTGTAATACACAGTTTAAGCTCCATCAACTCTAAGGAAGTCTTCATTTCTCCATCATGGTGCTCCTTTTAATTGTATCTTCTCTGTGTCTTTTGTTTCCCCAATTAATCATATTCTATTTTATATTATTCTGTGTATGTGTATATAGCTTCTTTCCTTAATAAGATTATACATTTATAAAGCATATAATTATTTTTATAATGCTATGCACCTGATTTCATTGTTTGTATGTGCATGTCCACTTCTAGTAGTTTTCCTAAACGAAATAACACAGCACATATGGGATAATAATGCTCATTGTATTGTTCATTATGGGAAAATGAAATACATCTATTATGGAATGAAAACTATTCAAGATATATTTACTACTAAGTAAAAATTAAGCCTAATAAAGAGCAGTATGTATAATATAACTCCACGTAGATTAAAAATAGTTATACATTTATAGCTATGAATTTTTAATTGCATATATTTATTCAAGGTCTGGAAGGATCTACAACAGAGATATCATGAGTTATTTTTGGAGGTGGGACACGGTGGACATTTACTTTTTAACTTCACATAGTCATACATGGTTTGAAAATTTGTAGAAATTTGTAGAAATATATATAGTTTTATAAGCAAGGAAATTAAAATATATTCTCCATTTTGAAATAAATTAGAAACACGTCTAAAACCATTACTGTCAAAATATTAAATACAACATTAAAATATAACTTGCTATGGCTATTTCATATAAGAATACCCCCAGAATTTGTGGCTTAACTTGTGAAATGGTAATGAATTGCAAGAAGACTTTGCTTCTTTTCTCAATGCCATTTGTAGTCAAAGGTCAACTGCTGAGAGGGAACTTAGATTAGAATTGAAGTCACTGGTCATTGAGGCCCATGGGAATCTAATCTGTGACTGCTGCTGCATTCATAGTATGCTAATATCAGACGTTTCTGAATGTTCTAGTTTTGATCACAAAGTTACATTCTCAAACAAAAGAGGCTGCTACATCTAATCTCCATATATGGTTAGAAAAGGAACCACGCTGGAAGAACAAAAAGGAAACAGGAAAATGACTCTCCCTGAGTTTAATATTTTTGGCAATTTTAGGATCAAAATATTAGGTAAAGCAAGGAGTATATTTTCAAAAATATTCTTCTAGCTTACAAGGAACTCTTCCTCTATATTTAGAGTATTAGCTGGGAAGGTAAAGTTGCCTTAAAGATAGGGCCAAATTTTTCATTAGATCTCACTGGAAAAAACAAAAACAACAACAACAACAAAAAGATCTCACTGGAATGTAACTCCTGATAGCAGAGATTTTTGCCTGCTTCTCTCTCTTTTTTTTTTTTTTTTGGTTGGAGACAGGGTCTTACTCTGTTGCCCAGACTGGAGTGTAGTGGCACAATCATAGCTGACTGCAGCCTTAGCTTCCCAGGCTCAAGCCATCCTCCCACCTGAGCCTGCTGAGTAGTTAGGATCACAGGTGTGCACCACTACATCTGGCTAATTTTTTATTTTATTTTGTAGAGATAGGGCCTCCCTATGTTGCCCAGCCTGGAATGTCTGTTTCATTAACTGCTATATTCCCAGTGCATATAACAGTATTTTAAATACCTAGTATATAGTAGGTATTAAAAAAAAAAAAAAAAGGGTGTGGCCAGGGACAGTGGCTCACGCCTATAATCCCAACACTTTGGGAGCCGATATGGACAGATCACCTGAGGTCAGGAGTTCAAGACCAGCCTGGCCAACATGGAGAAACCCCGTCTCTACTAAAAATACAAAATTAGCCGGGCATGGTGGCACATGACTGTAATCCCAGCTACTGTGGAGTCTGAGGCAGGAGAATCCCTTGAACCCAGGAGGCGGAGGCTGCAGTGAGCAGAGACTGTGCCATTGCATTCTAGCCTGGGCAACAAGAGCAAAACTCCAACTCAAAAAAAAAAAAAAAAAAAGATGATTGAAAGCATATATCTACCCTGAATAAGAAAAAAAGTTTTTTTTGTGTGTGTGTATGTGCGTGTGTTTTCTAAAAGACAATGTCTCACTATGTTGCCCAGGCTGGTCAAGAAAACAAGAGAGAGACAGAAAGAGAAAGAGAAAGAGAAAGAGAGAGAGAGAGAGAGAGAGAGAGAGAGAGCGCGAGCGCGAGCATGTGCATTTTCTAAGAGACAGTGTCTCACTATGTTGCCCGGGTTGGTCTTGAACTGCTGGGCTCAAGTGATCCTCTTATCTTGGCCTCCCAAAGTGCTGGGGTTACAGGTATGAGCCACTGAGCCTGGCCAGAAAGCAAGTTTTTAGCAAGTCAAGTCATAGTCCCTCAATGTTGTATCCTGCTACTATAGTTATACAGAGGCAAATCAAATCGATTTAAGAATGAAACACAAGGCCATGAGTGGTGGCTCACATTTTGTCAACCTAACTTTATAAATGAAGAATCTGAGGTTTAAATAACTGAAATTGCCTGAGAGCGTACAGCTGGTTAGTGGCAGAATTATCTACGCATATTCTTTCTACTTCCACCTCCAAAGCTATATATAGACATGTAGTGACTGCAAGTTGAGTTAGAAATTAAACAGAAAGCACATTTTGCATTAGGTGATACCTCTTCTAGAGGTAACAAAAGAGGTAAGACTGCTAACAGTTGGTAATTGTTTATTTATAGCAACTGATATTTTCAATCCAAAAAAGAAAATTCCACCAAAGTATCGCCAATTAAAGAATATTTAGCCAAATCCAAAACAAAACAAAAAAAATACTTTTTAGCTCGATTTAAAATGTAACTGATTTCAGCCATCTAGTTTGTTACAAGGATCAGCGTATCTTTGCATATTAACTGTGAAAGGTGCTAGTAAAGTGTTCACTCACTACTGATAGAAAAATCCAGCCGAGCATGGTGGCTCATGCCAGTGATTTCGGCACTTTGGGAGGCTGAGGCGGGTGCACCTGAGGTGGGGAGTTCAAAACCAGCCTGACCAACATGGAGAGACTCTGTCTCTACTAAAAAATATAAAATGAGCCGGGTGTGTTGGTGCATGCCTGTAATCCTAGCTGATTGGGAGGCTGAGGCAGGAGAATCATCTGAACCTGGGAGGTAGAGTTCTGGTGAGCCGAGATCGCACCATTGCACTTCAGCCTGGGCAACAAGAGTGAAACTCCGTTGAAAAGAAGAAAAGTAAAGAGAAGAGGAAAGAAGAAAAGAAAGAGAATCCCCGAGTATAGAAAACTTATATTTATATTATGATTCTTTTTCTTTTTGTTTTTCTTTGCCATATCTTTTTTTGTATTATCATTCTTAAATAATATATTCTATTCATTTACATGGACTTATCTGCCATAATTTACTTAATAAATACCCTTATTAATGGACACAAACGCTTTCTTCTTGTTGCTTTTAAACAACACTGAAACAAACATTCTTGCTCATTTATCCAATTTGTTCCTTAAGATTAAAAACCCAGGCTGGGCGTGGTGGCTCAGGCCTATAATCCCAGCACTCTGGGTGATTGAGGCAGTCAGATCACCTGAGGTCAGGAGCTTGAGACCAGCCTGCCAACATGGTGAAACCCCAGTCTCTACTAAAAATACAAAATTAGCTGGGCATGGTGGCATGTGCCTGTAATCCCAGCTACTCAGGAGGCTGAGGCAGGAGAATCACTTGAATTCAGAAAGTGGAAGTTGCAGTGAGCTGAGATCATGCCACTGCACACCAGCCTGGGCAACAAGAGTGACACTCAAAAAAGAAAAAAAAAAAAAAAGAAAAATAGGTTAAAAATATAGAAATGGAATTGCTGGATCAAAAAGTATGTTCTTTAAGACTTCCAATAAACAATTCATAGCCAGGTTTAAAAGGAAATCAGACAAAGATAAATATTTAAAGTGATGATATTCTAATTACCCTGATTTGCTCTTTACACATTAAATGAATGTAATGAATTATAAAACATATCCTGAAAATATGTGCATCTATTATGTTATCAATAAGATAAAAATAATAAATTATTAAATGGGAAATCAGTAATGCCCAAAACTTCCAATAATGACAACACAATTTCAAGCAAATATATTCTAATTTAGAATGCTTAAATATAAGTGCTAAGATAGCAAGATACTTTAATTAAAGAAGCATTGATTTTTTTTTTCCTAAGGCTCTACTTCAAAGTGCTGGCTATTCAACCAACTAATCTGTATAGGTATTTGGATGGTGAGGTAAAAGCTATTTTAAGGTCTGTTCTCATCTCACTTTAATAAGGTGAAATAAAGTGCCATATGTACTAAAAATAGTTCACTGTTCTGAAACTCAGTGCCTGATTGTCAGAACAATATTAATGATGCATATTCTATGCATTTTTTCCCCAAATATGGTATCTGCCGTGTACAAAATTCAGAATAGAAACCACGAGATATCTGAAATAACAACATTCCCTTAAATAGTTAAAAAAACCAAATGAATCCAGTTACTTTAATAAAATAGAATGTACTAAAACTAAGTATCTCAAACTTTTATAACTCATTGTTTTAATAGACCAAAAGCACTGTGAATCTAGTTTTAAATTTTATACTGGTATAGTCTAATGAAAGTTTTACTATGATAAACACATGCCACCAAATTTATTTGCCTAATTTCCCTATGTATAAAAGTGACTTGACAATATGGTACTTTAAAACTCACTTTTCTTCTCTGACAACTGTAACAGAATTAACACAATAAACTACTTCGGGCAATTACTAGGCTATTCATTATAAAACATAAGAAGATTCTATATTCACAAAGTCATTAATTTTGTTTAAATCAAACTGAGATGCCATAAGTTAAGAAAATATTAAATATCATAAGAGATTTTAAAGGTACAGTAACCCCCCAAATGGAACTACAAGCAGGTTTCACTTAAGTTGTATCACAAAAGATTTACATTGTGTTTGATTAAAATTTGAGCTCAAGGCTGAAATTAATGCTGGAAGTGAGACTGCAACAAATCTTTAATACCTAAAGAAACCTATACCAATTACTAACATTCAAAAAACCACAAATATACAACCACTTAGAAAGAAACATTCCAGTTAAGATACCCTTCTTAAAACAGAAGTCTAATTATTTTATACATTATCTGATACTGTTATTGGCTTGCCATTTTGTGAGCTGTAACAAGTAAACTGATGGTTAAAATACTATAACCTTGAAACTATATACTAACCTTCATTATCCAAAAGAACTGTCAAAAAACAGAAAAAACAAAAAACAAACCTTTTGAAAGCTTTGTTTCTTCTACCGCTTTGGTTAGATGCCCTTCGACGATCAGCTTCTCTGCCAAGGAAAACAAACGTTACTATCCAAGCCCAAACTAAGCAGCATTTCCCTGAGCTAGGCAGTGTAACACATTCCATGACCAAATTTAAAGATGATAACATTACTCCTATGACCAAGCTTGAATAAAAACTTGAATCTGGAAGGGGAACTAGGAGAACTGGAACTATGACGGAGCAATCAGGTTAATGCAGAAAACTGGCGGCAGGCAGACAATTTGCCTTTTATTTTCACCTTTTTTTTAAAAGCCTAGATCTTTTTATAAACTGGACTCAGAAGAAATAATCAAAGCAATTCTCTTTAGATCAAGAATATTTGAATTCCAGGATACTACAAAAACAAATAAACAAACAAAAAAGAATATTAAGTTGAAATAAAATATTTATGAAAAGGCATTTATTCAAATGAATAAAAATTAAGTTATATGGATAGCTTATCGTTCTCTGCTGGCATAACTCAGCAGAGACGGCTAAATAACACATTTCAGTAAAATGAATTATTTTAGAAGAGCTAATCAAAGAAATAAAAAAATTTTTGGTTTGTTTTATGGGGGATTCTCTGTAAATGTATAATGTTACTTCCTTGTAACTTACTTAGTCATATTTTCATATTCTACATTTCACTGAGGAGGATATCTCTATTGGGTCCTTTACTTATTGCTGTATGTCATTTGGTCTCCTTCAATTTATTCATTAGCAGTATGTGCGAATAAATTTTCTATTCTCTTACTCTACAACCTACTGCAACTTGGTCTACACCCACCACTCAACCACTGAAACTGCTCCAATATCATTATAGCCTCTTGTCTGCCAATGCCCATAGCTCTTTTTCTTTTTTTTTTTTTTTTTCAATTTTTAATTTTATTTATTTATTTAGTTTTTTTTTTTTTTTTTTTGAGACGGAGTTTCGCTCTTGTTACCCAGGCTGGAGTGCAATGGCGCGATCTCGGCTCACCGCAACCTCCGCCTCCTGGGTTCAGGCAATTCTCCTGACTCAGCCTCCTGAGTAGCTGGGATTACAGGCATGCGCCACCATGCCCAGCTGATTTTTTTTTTTTTGTATTTTTAGTAGAGACGGGGTTTCACCATGTTGACCAGGATGGTCTCAATCTCTTGACCTCGTGATCCACCCGTCTCAGCCTCCCAAAGTGCTGGGATTACAGGCGTGAGCCACCGCGCCCGGCAGCTCTTTTTCTTAATTTTCATTTCTCATAGGCTTTTTGCAGTATGTGGCACTTTGTCTCTGCCTTTTTAAAAACAGAAAGATAAAGTAACAGATTTTGATTAAGATGTATAAAGTAAGCTGTCCTACCTGTCCTCTGTCCTACTTCATTCCTAAAATTCACTTCCTACAACTTTTAGCCATTTCTATTTTTTTTTTTTTTTATTTATTTTTTTGAGATGGAGTCTCATTCTGTCACCCAGGCTAGAGTGCAGTGGAGCGATCTCAGCTCACTGCAATCTCCACCTCCCGGGTTCAAGTGATTCTCCTGCCTCAGAGTCCCAAGTAGCTGGGATTACAGGTGCCCACCACCACGCCCAGCTAATTTTGGTATTTTTAGTAGAGACGAGGTTTCACCATGTTGGCCAGGCTGGTCTCGAACTCCTGACCTCATGATCCACCTGCCTCAGCCTCCCAAAGTGCTGGGATTACAGGCGTGAGCAACCGCGCCCGGCCTAGCCATTTCTTCTGATACTTAACATTTATATTTCTAAATATATATTGATTTTTATTTTTTCCACTTTAGATATTTATTGACAAGGTATTTTACATGATTAAGCTCTATCATCCTCAAGAATTGCATTTTGTCAATCTATAATCGGTATTTATATTGACAAATTATTTTATATAGTCATATAGTAGACTACAATTACATTTCCTTTCTTGTATGGCATTCAATATACTCAGAATTTATAATGCTTCAGTTTTTTGTTTTATTAATTTTTTATATATCTCAAAAATAGCCCAAGTTCTCACAGAACCATGCAACTTTCAATACTGTCAAACACACCAAGTAATTTATCACATTATATATCCCCATCTTCCTCTTCCTGTTTTATTCCTTTGTTATAATTTCCTGAAAAGGGGTGGACAGAAGGTAAATACTTTGTGATTTTGCTTCTCTGAAAAGGTTAGCATTCTACCTTCACATTTGATTGATGGTTTGGCTAGATACACAAATCTACAGAAAATACTTTTGCATCAGAATTCTGAAAGCATTGTTCCATTGTCTTTTAGTTTCCAACTAGAAGATGAGTCTAATACAGCCTGAATCCTGTCCCTCAGTACACATAGTAGAGATTTCTTACAGTCAGCAATGCCTAGTTTGCTTGTCCTGTTTGAGCATCAGGGAGGACTGCACATCCCAACTCCCTAGCACCGAAGAAGGTTCATAGGACTGATGCTCACCAGGGCTAAAGCATTTAAAAGAAAGTGTAAGTTTTTTACACCTTATGCCACTACAGGAACTCTAGAGTTTCTAGAGTTTGTGTGCTCAGGAAAGGGATGCCTTTGAGTCCCTCTTCCAGAGCTCCGAGACCTGGTGTCGGGGAGATGCTCTTTCTTGCTTGGATACCTTGGAAACTAGTAAGAGGAAATCCCTATAGTTACTGACTAAAGATTCAGATAAAGTGAAACAATTTTTTGAAAAGTTACAACACACGTTGGATCAAAAGAAGAATGAAATTTTGTCTGACTTTGAGACCATGAAACTTGCTGTTATGCAAGCATATGGCCCAGAGATCAACAAACTCAACACCATCTTGCAGGAGCAACGGATGGCCTTTAACATTGCTGAGGCTTTCAAAGATGTGTCAGAACACATTGTATTTCTGCAACAGATGCAGGAGTTCAGGGAGAAAATCAAAGTAATCAAGGAAACTCATTTACCTCCCTCTAATTTGCCTGCAAGCCCTTTAATGAAGAACTTTGACACCAGTCAGTGGGAAGACATAAAAGAGTCAATGTGGATAAACTTTCTTTGCCTCAAGACACTGGCACACTCTTGGCAAGGTTCCCTAAAACTTTACTATCTTATGATGATAGTTAAGACTCCATCTGCCTAGATCCCTGAGTGACAATGTGGAGCAGAGTGGTCTTCCTCACCATGGACATGTAGCATGAATGAGAAATGTTTGTTGAGTTGAGCCATCAAAGATTTCATGGCTTGGCTGGGCACAGTGGCTCACGCCTGCAATCCCAACACTTTGGGAGGCCAAGGCGGGCCGATCACCTGAGGTTGGGAGTTTGAGACCAGCCTGGCCAACAGGGAGAAACCCGTTACTACTAAAAATACAAAATTAGCCAGGCATGGTGGTGCATGCCTGTAATCCCAGCTACTCGGGAGGCTGAGGCAGGAGAATCACTTGAACCCGGGAGGCAGAGGTTGCTGTGATTGTGCCATTACACTCCAGCCTGGGCAACAAGAGCAAACCTCCAAAAAAAAAAAAAAAAAAGAAAGATTTCATGGCTTATTTATTACTATATGATAAATTTAGCTTATTATGACTATATGATACCCTTGTTTCTCTCTGGGTTTCAGAGTCTTCTCTTTATCCCTGGTGTTCTTAAATTTCATATTCCTCAGTGTGTGGTCTCTTTTTTCTTAAACGAGGTGAAATTCACATAACATAAAATAACCATTTTAAAGTAAACAAAGCCGTAGAATTTAGTATATTCACTGTTGTGCCTAGTTCCAAAACATTTCATTACCCAAACAAAAACCCTATACCCATTAAGCATTTACTCCCCACCTCCACTTCACCAGTCCCTGGTGATCACACATCTGCTTGCTATCTCTATGGATTTACCTGTTCTGGGTATAAATAAAACAATATAACATATGACACTCTGTGTCTAGCTTAGTGTGTGGTCTTATATATTGTGCTAAGTACTCAGTAATTTTTTCAGTTTACAAGCTCATTGTCCTTCATTTCTGGGGAATTATCTTGTATTCTATCTATTTAATTGATAACTTATTCCATTCTCTCTCTCTCCCCTTCTCCCCCTCTAGAATTCACTATTAAGATGTTAGAGCTCTAGGATTAGCCCCCAAATTTTCTTTAATTTTCTCTCTTAAAAAAAAAAAATCTCTTGCCTTTTTGTTATATTTTCTGGGATATTTCCTCTACTTTCTCCTCAAGCCTCCTATAGTTCTTAAAAATCTGGTATCATTATTTTTAGTTTTCAAAAATTCTATCTGCACTCTGTTCCTTTAAAAAAATATCATCTTGGGCCGGGCACGGTGGCTCAAGCCTGTAATCCCAGCACTTTGGGAGGCCGAGGCGGGTGGATCACGAAGTCAAGAGATCGAGACCATCCTGGTCAACATGGTGAAACCCCATCTCTACTAAAAATACAAAAAAAAAAAATCAGCTGGGCATGGTGGTGCATGCCTGTAATCCCAGCTACTCAGGAGGCTGAGGCAGGAGAATTGCCTAAACCCAGGAGGCGGAGGTTGCGGTGAGCCGAGATCGTGCCATTGCACTCCAGCCTGGGCAACAAGAGCGAAACTCCGTCTCCAAAAAAAAAAAAAAAAAAAAGAAAAATCATCTTTACCTCTTTTCATCCATGAAACTTTAAAAATCATACTTTTAAGTGGCATATAGTGACTCACACCTATAATCCTAGCACTCTGGGAGGCCAAGGTGGGTGGATCACCAGAGGTCAGGAGTTTGAGACCGGCCTGGTCAACATGGTGAAATACCACCTCTACTAAAAATACAAAACTTAGCTAGGCGGCGTAGCAGGTGACAGTAATCCCAGCTACCGAGGAGGCTGAGGCAGGAGAACTGCTTGAACTCAGAAGGTGGAGGCTGCAGTGAGCCGAGATCACACCACTGCACTCCAGTCTGGGTGACAGAGCAAGATACTGTCTCAAAAAAAAAAAAATTATATTTAAAAAAAAGTTTCTGCTTTTTATTTTTTTTCTATTTCTTCCCTAGTCACATTTTTGTTTGTGTTTTAATTTGTTTTGATCTTTGTCTTTGTTAAGAAAGAAT